GTCTGCTTTTTTTCAAATGGTGGGGGGAGCAGTCTGTTCAGCATCCCGTGGTGCAACGCCCCCCCTCCCCCACTACATGTCCTGATATTTTACTGTTAGGATCTGGTCACCCTAGGAGGGGGTGAGCAGGGACACCATGAAGGGCATGTCCTGAGAGCGAGTTGATGATCACCAGCTAATGGGAATTGCATTTACACTTCAGCCTCTGTATGTGGTTTCTGGGTGGGTGGATCAGAGCATCAATTTCTTCTGAAGACAGTTTCCAATCTGGATGGGCAGAGAACGTACTTTGAAGTCTGTTCCTGCCAGACAGTGACCGGAATTAATAGCGATGCAAGGAGGCTGGTGAACCAGCGCTTTCCCTTTGAGATGGTTGGGAGTGAATTTGTTTTATTAGTGCTCATGAAAAAGACAGATTGATGCTGCTGGCCAGACTCAGCTGTAGCACAGCTCGGTTAGTGCACCCCAATCCTGTCCCCCCCCCCTTTCCATTCCAGTCCTGAGCCTGGCACTGCATTCAGTCAGGCTAAATACTGCGGTGTGTTTTAATGGGCGTAGCTGGGGCCTGGGATGAGCTCCACCAAATGTTGATTTGCTGGGAGTTAAGCCCCGATTGCAGCTGGAGACGTTGAGGGGGAAGGGGTCGGTATGGGATCTGTTCTGAGGACGAAGGGAAGTTTGGGGGTTCGAGGGTGTTCAGCATGTCTCGCCCACTGCAAAACTTCTTTACAAAAGTGAGGACGGGGAGATCTGTCTTCACTGCAGTGAGTCCAGGCTCTTACCCGGGGGTGCCCCCTAACCACCTTCCCCTCCCCACACATATCCCTCTCCCGCGAGTGTCATGGTTCTTTCTCCTCGGGCTAGCTGGTCCCGTTGGGGGTGTGGGGTGGAACCTATGTCCCGCCTTCGCTTGGGCTGGTAGTCCAGGGCGCAGGCTAAACCACTCGGTGCTGATAGTCCTCCAGGGCCTTCGCACAATTCCCCCTGTGTGCCCAGCAGGCCAGGCAAGCTCTCCCACAGTTCAGTGGGGTAGAATCATAGAGCGGCTCAGTTTGCTGCAGCACAGAAACACATGGGCTGCGCCCCCAGAAGTCCTAGCGACACACGTGGGGGAGCACAGCCCCAGTGGGTGGCAGGAACTTGACCAGGGCTTTGCGGGGTGGCTGCACGCCCTGGGCTTGGCTGACTGCTGAGGGGGGGAGCGGGAGCAACTGGCATTTAACAAGAAAGCAAAACCTCAAAAGGGGCCTGATGCAGCCTCAGGAAATGCAGTGTCAGCTTCTCCGCTTCAAATGAATGTGCGCATATGTTACTTGTTCCCCTCTGATAGGCTCATTTAGACTCGCCACGCTTGCAGTGAAGGACATATGGCAAAGTCACTGCAGAGTGAGGTTCTCTCTAGCTCCGTTCTTACTCGTAGCAAGGCCAGAAGGGGCCGTTGTGACCGTCTGGTCTGCCCTCCTGGCTGTCACAGGCCAGAGAACTCCCAGCGGTCTAGGAGCTGAACATCTGGATATTCAAGGAAGTGCAGTATAGCCTGGCAGTGTGTGCTGCCGTTTCTGCCCGGTGGCTGTGGCTCATATCATAGAATCATAGAAGAGACCTCAGGAGGTATCTAGTCCAACCCCTGCTCAAAGCAGGACCAATCCCAACTAAATCATCCCAGCCAGGGCTTTATCGATATCCCAGTTCAACTAGTATCAGTCTCTGGGAGGTGAAAGGCACCTAGATACTAGGGGGCTGGGTAGCAGTACAAACCCTAGAACAGCCCAGGGCTGCAGGGCCATTGAGGTAATCCCTCCAGATCCAGGGTAAATAGGATTTCTGAATGCAGGTGCCATAATTACAGGGCTCGCTGTCCCTCTCCCCTCTCTGGTCTCTCCAAATGCACCTCCCCGCTGCCGAGTTATGTGGGAAGAGGGATCCATCGGCGACGGCTGATACTGGCTCTGAGAAGAGCAATCTGTTCCAGGGTGCGGATGGCTTTCTTGCAGATGGGAACCGATAGCTGAGCGTTTCCGTGCGTGTAAACGGCGCCATCAGGCCCTGTTGGCGGAGGGACCGTCCCTCAGATTCGATGTAAACCCAAGGCACTTGTGGTTATCAAAGAACCCACGGTGCTTTTCCCAACAGCAAAGCAGTTAACCCGTTTGCCCTGGGCAAACTCCACTCTGGGTAATTGCGTTCTGCCTCCCTGAATTGCCGGATTCTTCGTGTCCCACCGCGATTCAGTGCATTGGTGCTGCCTCATTCCATCCCAGCACTGGCTACATTTCAGTGATTCCGATCTAAGTGTCTTATACAACAGTAAAGTTCCTCTCGTGGGAATTCAGTGTAGTAGACAGCCTGTGGAGGATGCTCCAGGACTCCCCCGAATCTCTCACTAGAGAGAAGTACATAGTGGTGAGTAATACTTGTTTGGAGACACATGATGTAAAATTGTGAAGTGCTTTGAGATCTACTGATGAAAATCCCTTTATAAGAGCTGGTATTGCTATTTATTGTTGTTGTTAGCACTTAGATAGTGGCTCTCTCTTAGAATCGCAGAATGAACATCAATCCACGCCACCCCCATCCCCCCAGTGAGGTAGATGTTACTGTATTTTTTTACCCTATGGTCCATCCTGTGGGAGGTGGATAATGAAACTTTGAGTCCCATTGAAATAACGTGACCCCGTCCAATCCGTTACATTGAGTCAGAAGAACATGACGTCCAGAAACGCCAGGCTACAGGGTACCACAACCAGGGCTGGATTTAGCAAGTGCGGGGCCTGATTTGTGGGGCTTGTACTCACTGGGCGGCGCTCCGAGTCTTTGGCGGCACTTCGGCGGCGGGTCCTTCACTCGCTCCGGGTCTTCGGCGGCACTGAAGGACCCGCCGCCGAAGACCTGGAGCGAGTGATGGACCCGCTGCCGAACTGCCGACGAAGATCCGGTGCGCCGCCGGGTGAGTAAAAATTAAAAAGGCCACTGGGCGTGGGGCCCTCTTGGTCCCGGGGCTGGAATTGGGGGAATCGGCCTAAAGCCGGCCCTGACCACAACATCAAGAATTGAACCTGGACGGTGTCTCCTGCAGCCTAAAAAACGCTGACATGGTTAGCACAGCTCCGTACACAGCACAAAGAATCCAACACGTCAGTTGCTTCTCCAAACTGCCTGAGCCTCTTGGCAGGGGCGACAGATTCCTCCTAAAAGTGTGGGTGGGGGGAGGGGCATGAGGCCCCGGCCCCGCCTCTTCCCCTCCCTGAGGCCCTGCCCCTTGGCCAAGCAGGAGCTGGGCTGGGGAGCCCGGGCCCCTCCATCTGCCCAGGGTGGGGGACCCGAGAGCAGCCCCCAGCCCCTGGGTCTGCGACTCCCCACAGCTGCTTGGACTCCCCGGGCCGCTCGTACCTGGGCTAGGCTCCAGCTTCCTGCCTGGCCGGGGGGCAGGGCCTCAGGGGGAAGAGGAGGGGCAGAGGGCCGGGCCCATGGCGAAAAGTGGACGGGCCACACCTATACACTTTCAAAAGTGGGAGGGCCATGGCCCCTTGGCACCCCCGTTCCGGCACCTCTGCCTCTCGGCTCTGTGAAATATGGTGAGAAATGTGGCGTGTGGCCTGCGCATGCAGCTTTCTCTCTTTTCCCCTCTCTCTGGGAGGCTTTAAAATTAGGGGGGGTTTTGTATGAAAAGCAACATTCTCGTCTTTTTCCGGGAGTTGTCACAACTGCAGTCTCCTCCTCCCCCCATCACAGCTTGTCCCTGCAGGGCAGGACAGAACCGAACCCCTGGGTGCGTTTAACCCTCTCCTCCCCTGTTCTCAGTGCATGCGAAGCCACTGCACATGTGACTCTCCAAACTGGACTTGGTAGACAAGACGCCTGCCAGCCCGATGCATTATCCGCCCTGGTGGAGCTGTGGGGAACCTGCAAAAAAAATCACCCAGCCCCAAAGCTGATCAATCTTCCCCCTTCTCTCTTCTTCTAAGAGTATTTGGCTTTTCCCCAAATGAATTCTTCTTTTAATAGGTGCTTCATTTTAACTGGCAGCTGGAGTGAGTGAAAGCAGAACTGAAATGCAAACAGGGCCATTCAATTCGTTCCGGCCGGCAGCTCGGGCTCGTCAGCAAATAGCCAGCCCAGAAAGCCGGTGACCAGGACTATTGACTGGCTTCTGCACGGTCTTAGGATAAAGTGTCTTTAAATGTCACAGAGCCTCATACCTTTAGGGTGCCAGTTCACATCCCACCTGTGTTGGTGGCAGGAAGGGGATTGCTAATGTGTTATTGGAGCCTTTCACACTTTAGGTGGGTTGCAGCTCACCTGGATGGCTACCAGAAGTTTTCACATCTGACGTCTGCTCGATAGCCCCTATATTAAATGAGTTGGGGGGGGGGGTCTCAGTCTAGTCCCCAGCGGCTGGGTGTGTATGTTACAAAACTGCTGTCATGTCTGGCACCGTTGCTGGCATTCTCGCTGATCTCCTCCAGTGGGCCAAGCAGAGGACTCGGAACCAGGACTCCTGGGTGCTGTTTCCTACTTGACCTCTGATTTGCCGCGGGACTTCACTTCTCTCCCCATTCGTTCTCAGGAGAAGTCCCTGGGAAGTGGGTGCGGCGCCTATTTTGCTGGGGGGAGGAGGGGGTGAGACTGTTTGTAGGGAGCGGTGGAGGTCCCTGGACCAGCGACACTGTGGACTGTTATGCTGCGCTGTGCCATGTACCCATTTCACATAGGTCACTGAACAGCTGTCTGGGCTGGGTTCCAGCTGGGGGACTAGAGATAAAAGGGCCCTGAGCTCTCCGGCCCCCTGACATGGGAGATCCGGGTTCTCCTAACGTAGCGTTTTGTTGCCTTTTGAAATGTCACCATCTTAGCTGTGCTGATAACGAACGAAACGCCCCATTCCCGGGAAACCGGTGCCGTGTTACCCCGCAGGGCTCTTCCCGCCAAGCCGCCCGCCAGCACTCTGGGTCCTCTTTGGAGAGAGCTGTTGAAAGCGGCTGCTGCTGTTTCTCTTTCAGGGTGTTGCTGAGCTCGAGCTGGAGAAGGACCTGAGCAGGACGTTTAGGATCATGATCCGATCCATGAGGAAGGAGGTAGGGGCGGGGCATGCGGCTGGGTAGGGCGGGGCTTTGTGTGATCTTTATCCCATAGCTGGGGTCTGAAGGAGGAGAAGCAGAGGCTGATGATCCAGCCCCAGCCTGGGTTAACTCTCTGCTCCCATCTCTCTCACCTGGGGAGGCCGGAAATTCCGGGGGGAGGGGTTGGGCATCAAGACTCAGCTAGAAGTTTTGCCAACTGTTGCAACCCCCGACCCCGCTATCTGCCACTCCACCCAACGGTGATGGGCCCGCTGGATGTCTGGAGAAGAATGTTGGTATTTAGATCATCGGTAGGTTTCAGAGTTAACGTGCTCTGTTGAGATGAACAGGGTGTTAGTTCACACCTTTCTTGGAGACAATAATTTGGGCTGTCTGCAGACTCAACCAGGGCACTGCTGTCTGCCTTACATCCATTTCACATTCGGAAGACCGTGTTCTCACTAGTAAGGGCTTGGGATGTCCTTTAAGGAAACTCGCTCCAATTCTGCCCTATGCTGTTGTGGCTGGGGTGGACTCGGTGGAGGGCGCAGGGCCTTGAGCATACGGCACAAGCTGAACACTCTCCAGGGGTTCCATCGAGTCTCTTTATCTCAGAGCACAATACAAATAGCATGATTAACTTAGAAGAGAGGCGGTAAATATTTATCAGCAGCTTCAGGGCAAAAACCCTTAAAAGAGCTTTGTTATTTAAACAAACTCAGTGTCTGGAAGGCAGAAGATTCATAGTTAAGGCTTTTTTTTAAATCCCAGCTCAGCTGCAACTCACTGTGTAGCCTGGTGCGAGTTACCTGACTGCAGTTTGCCTTTTGCCATCATTAACGCAGGAATAATGATATTGACCTAATATCCAGTGTAAATCCGGGGGGGAGAGGGGGAGCCACATGCTTGAAGCAGGGACGTCTGGCCCGTCGCTGCAGTTCTTTGGCTTGGCTTCCAGGCCTTTGCAGAGCCAATGGAGTAATAGTCCCGTCCCGGGAGAGTCCAGGGAGTGAGATCAGCCTGGGAATTGAACTAACTCTCTTGCATGGCTCTGGGGCATCGGGGTTTGTCTCGGAGTCCCCAGGCGATGCTCTGGAACTGCTCCCCACAAAGCCAGTCAGGATTTTGGGGAGCCTCCTCTCCCTTGGAGCAGACTATCTTCAGGGCAAGAAGCTCACACGGCGTCACCTTCTTGGGTCTCTCCTTGGAGCATTCAGCATATGCCCCTCCGTGCGCTTCCCACAGTGAGTCCACCCAGGTGGGATCCTGGGGAAGCCAGAGGGTCCTGCACCCCCACTTCGCAGACAGACGTGACTCTTAGCCAGCCAGTAAAACAGAGGTTTATTAGATGACAGGAACACGGTCTAAAACAGAGCTTGTAGGTACACAGAACAGTACCCCTCAGTCGGGTCCATTCTTGGGGCCCAGCGAGCCAGACAACCCCGTCTGCACTCACTCCCCGTCCCCAGCTAGCTCCAAACTGAAACCCCCTCCAGCCCCTCCTTTCTGGCCTTTGTCTCTTTCCTGGGCCAGGAGGTAACCTGATCTCTTTGTTCACCTTTAGGTATTCCCTTGCAGGGGGGGAAGGGCCCCAGCCATTTGTTGCCAGGATACAGAGTGTCAGCCATTTATGCACACTGGAGACTTAAGAAATGCATAGGGGAAACTGAGGCACCCACACAGTATTCAGAGGAAACATTAGGAACAGTCCCACTTCGTCACAGGGTTCAGGCGTCAAGTAATGAGTGTTTGCTGTCCCCGCGGAGAGCGAGTGCTCCAGCAGCAGCGTGGGGCGCTCGGGGCCCGTTCACGAGTGACTGGGATCCTCCGTCGCCCCAAACGCAGCGTCTCGCGCTGCTTGGGGCTGGCTGGGTTAGAGGTCTCTGCAGTGTCTGCTCCGAGCCAGCCGGGCGAGCGAGCGAAGCCCTGGGCAGGACTGGGCCTGGTCTGGATAGGACTGGGCCAGGTCCTAAAATCCATTACAACGAGCACCAGCCCCCGTGTGCTCGGTGCAAATCCTGCGCTGCTTTGGTCTGTCGGCTCCTGGCTTTGGAAGGCCCCAACAAGCCCCTTCCCCGGGCGCTCTGGGGGCTGCGCTCGGTAGCAGAGCACAGAGGAGGCCCGGTGCTGCTGTGGGCCACAAAAGCGCCTTCCTATGGAGCTTTGGGGAACCATTCCACAGCCGGGCCTGCCCCTTCCCTGCAGCCGCCCCGCAACGCCGAGTCGGCCCGGGGGAGCCGTTCCCCGAACGGCTGGGCAGGTAACCAAGAACAGTACGTTTCCAGGCTCGTTAGCTTCCTGTCCATGTCCTGGTAGGAGATGGAGCCAACGGCTTTAGCGAGGAGCAAGGCTGCATAACCTGGCCTCTGCGTGGAAAGTGTCATGGAATCGAATCGTGCATTCGCCGGGGAAAAGAGTTGGAAAAAGAGCGGTTGGGATTTTTCTGCCCTAGTAAATGTCAAGACAAGCTGGACAGGGCCCCATATTTAATGTCAGCCTGCCGGGGGGGCGGAGCAGTCCTGCATCCTCCCTGTGGCCCCGCCCACTCCCAGCATGCCTCTCGTGCTCACCTACGAGTCACAGTCTGGCCCGTAGAACTGTAGGAGCTAGAGATGTGGGGTCAGAGTCCTGAGGCAGGATTGTTCCTACACCACGTTCCCTAGGGCCAGTATGGAGCATACCAGCACTGCGGCGCCCACCCCTCCCCGGAGAGACTGTTCCACAGGCAGATCCGTCTCGCTGTCCCCGGAGCTTTTCCTAGCTGTCGTGAATTTCACCCCCTTGGTCTGTAGCCTCTTGGGTCACTTCAACTATTTATGGTCCTGTTCTCGTGCCCCCCCTTCTCCCTCCCCTGACCCTCGCACCTTGATTTCTGCTCAGCCAAGCTAGATGCGCGTCGCTTTTTTAATCCAACCCCCTACGTCAGTCCCCGGCGCCGCGTGATTGTTCCCATGGCTTTTCTCTGAGTTCCCCTCTGGCCGGCTGCCCTGGGAGTTACTCACGTCCCGTTAATTAGAGCTGCTTCCCTTGCAGGACCAGCTGCCTGTTCCTCTCAACTTCGCCAACGTCCGGGAGCGAGGTAAGGGTGCGAAACGGCCCAGGTGGGAAGGGATTTGTCACCCTCCAAATGTGAACAGACCCGACTTCACAAGCAGCCCTACAATAACAAAGGATCGGGTTGCTCGCGAGGGTTGGGCTGCGCACGCAGGTATGTTATTGTAGGGTTGTTCATTGGACGTAAGGAAGTCCAGGGCCACGACAGAAGGGGATGGAGGAGAGAGAAAGGGTGTAAAAGGGATGGATAGAAAGAAGCATTGAATTGTCCCATAATAGTGCAACCCTACAATAACACCCCAGCGTGTGCAGCCCAAGGCTTGGGAGAGACCCTGCCATAACAAACTGGCCTGTCTGCTTGCAGGGAGGAGAGAGGCTGGTATTGAGAAAGAAATGGCTTTTCTTTGCAAGCTGCTCTGGGTAGATCATGCACTAGGCGAGGGTGGGTGTAGTGAAATAGGAGCCATTCTGAGAAACACCCTTGATGCTGTCCCTTTCATTAGAAGCTGGGCAGCAGGAGGGACTCCTCGGCCAGTGGGATGCTGTGGAGCGGCTGCATGTTAACCAGAGCCCCTGAAGGCGTCGCTTTGAAACTCCTGTCTCCCTCCTTGGGTTTCTTCCCTTTCTTGCAAATCCACTTACGCAGCGCGTTCTAATCAAATCACCCACCGATGCACGCTGCAGAAAGGCGCTATCAATAGCAGCAGCGATAAGCATTCGTTGCGCAGCTCCAGCTGGAGGCGCGTACCCTGCAAAAACCTCCAGGAGAGCTGGAGGGGTGGCCTATGCACAGGGCTGCAGGGTTCTACTCCGGGCACGAAGGGACGGTCCAAAGGAGAAAGATGCCCTGGTAGGACTTGAAGTTGGCTTCGAAACCAGCCTAGAGCGAACCTCGGTGTGGATTTCAGTGTGAACAGCTAATCTGGGTTTAGCTGGACCGGTTTCACCGTATTGGTTTAACGTCACACTGTGAGTTCTACCAGTGCCGTGTTCTCGTCTAGACACGCCCGGGCTGCATGTGACCCCGGGTACGGATACGTTCTATGAAAGCGGGGTGGTG